CGGACCCCTGCGCTGTGCGTCACACTGACCCTGCACTGTGCGTCACACTGACCCTGCACTTTGCGTCACACTGACCCTGCGCTGTGCTTCACACTGACCTCTGCACTGTGCGTCACTCTGACATCTGCACTGTGGGTCACTATGACCTCTTCGCTGTGCGTCACACTGACCTCTTCGCTGTGCGTCACTATGACCTCTGCGCTGTGCTTCACACTGACCTCTGCGCTGTGCTTCACACTGACCTCTGCGCTGTGCGTCACACTGACCTGCACTGTGCTTCACACTGACCTCTGCGCTGTGCGTCACACGGACCTCTGCGCTGTGCGTCACACTGACCCTGCACTGTGCATCACACTGACCCTGCACTTTGCGTCACACTGACCCTGCGCTGTGCTTCACACTGACCTCTGCACTGTGCGTCACTCTGACCTCTGCACTGTGCGTCACTCTGACCTCTGCACTGTGGGTCACTATGACCTCTTCGCTGTGCGTCACACTGACCTCTTCGCTGTGCGTCACTATGACCTCTGCGCTGTGCTTCACACTGACCTCTGCGCTGTGCTTCACACTGACCTCTGCGCTGTGCGTCACACTGACCTCTGCGCTGTGCGTCACACTGACCTGCACTGTGCGTCACACTAACCTCTGCACTGTGCGTCACACTGACCCTGCACTGTGCGTCACACTGACCCTGCACTGTGCGTCACACTGACCCTGCACTTTGCGTCACACTGACCCTGCACTGTGCGTCACACTGACCCTGCGCTGTGCGTCACTCTGACCTCTGCGCTGTGGGTCACTATGACCTCTGCGCTGTGGGTCACTATGACCTCTTCGCTGTGCGTCACACTGACCTCTGCGCTGTGCTTCACACTGACCTGCGATGTCCGTCACACTGACCTCTGCGCTGTGCGTCTCACTGACCCTGCACTGTGCGTCACTCTGACCCTGCGCTGAGCGTCACTCTGACCTCTGCGCTGAGCGTCACTCTGACCTCTGCGCTGTGCGTCACTCTTTCCTCTGCACTGTGCGTCACACTGACCTCTGCACTGTGCGTCTCACTGACCCTGCGCTGTACGTCACTCTGACCCTGCGCTGAGCGTCACTCTGCCCTCTGCGCTGAGCGTCACTCTGACCTCTGCGCTGTGGGTCACTATGACCTCTTCGCTGTGCGTCACACTGACCTCTGCACTGTGCCTCTCACTGACCCTGCGCTGTACGTCACTCTGACCCTGCGCTGAGCGTCACTCTGACCTTTGCGCTGAGCGTTATGGTGGGGCAACTGGTGGCGAGTGACTTTTAAGGCCTGGCTAGTAGCTCAGGACTTGAAATTTTGATGTGTGTGTGTGTGTGCATGCATGTGTAGCCTGGAGTTGGGTTTTCACTGCAGCAGGGCTGTGCCATGTGGTAGAGCTGTGTAAACCTCAGAAGTGGATGGACAGAAATAGAAATCCTTTGGCACATAAAAGAGCTCAGGAACAGGAATGTCCTCTGTGTAGTGTGCAGGGTGATAATAAATCCCCTCACTCCTATGCCTGGCATTAAACTATAAATTCCAACCAAAATTTGGGATGGAATGTGGAAAAAATAGAACCTCTCTTTTCAGTTTGTATTATTGTTTGTGCCCCCATTTGTGAGATTTCTCCACACTTCCTGTCCCAGAAACATAACAAGCGAGTGAAAATCTTCCCAAAATTGAGGATGGAATCCACTCTATGGCCCCATTCACACAGGAATCGGCCTGCACGTACAGCTCTGTGCTGCATGCAGGGCCGTACCAAGCAGCTGCCGGGAAGGACAGGTGCTGCGTGTGATTAGTACGCAGCCCCTGTCCTTCTCTATGGGGCTACGCGGCCGTACGCCCCCCTACGCTCACCTCAATTGCAGGTCCGTAGGGGTGCGGGTTTTCTGGCCGGGACGCATACAGGACCCATTCCGGCGGCGTATAAATACGCTCACCCGCACCCCTACGGACCTGCAATTGAGGTGAGCGTAGGGGGGCGTACGGCAGCTGCTTGGTACGGCCCCGCACGCAGCACAAAGCTGTACGTGCAGGCCGATTCATGTGTGAATGGGGCCTTAGGGCCCATTCATGCTAGCCGGTGTTCTATAAAAGTTTGTGACTGCGTTAGAATGTGTGACCGGTCACGTGATCACACATTGTAACATAATCCCGCCCAGTTTTTCTGCAGTAAAATATATGACCGGCAAAAGGTGAAGAATTCCGACGCTTTCTCAGTTGTTCCAGGGAAGATCGGTATCGCAGATCGTATGTGTAGGAGAACCGATCTGTACTGGAACAGCTGATCGGTCCTGAAATGTCACTTCTATCCGACTTTGTGAGTGCGATCCAACATTTCACAAAGTCGGATAGAAGTGACATTTCAGGACCGATCAGCTGTTCCAGGGCAGATCGGTTCTCCTGCACATACGATCTGCGATTCCGATCTGCCCTGGAACAGCTGAGAAAGCTTTGAATTCTATACCTTTTGCCAGTCGCATATTTTAACCCCGGAAAAAATGGGTGTGACTATGTTAAAATGGATGACCGGTCACACATTCCAACCCAGTCACAATCTTTGATAGAACACCGGCAGCGTTTACTATGCGGGTCTGCTGCTTATGCGGGGGCGGAGCTTTGCAAAGTCTCCATTTTTTTGTACTTACTTTCTTGTTACAAAATGACACTTTGTTAAAGTTAATGGACTGCAGCTGAGCTGCGTTGCGGTGAACTGCGCTGACTTCAGGTGGGCCCTGGTGCATTGCCATGCAGCACGTTAGCATTACTCCGCAACACACTGCAGTGTGAACAGGGCACATAGAAGTCAATTGATTTCTGTGTGTGATTTGAGTTGTTCGTATGCAGAAAAAAAAACAGGTTACTGCATGTAGTGTGAACAAACCCTTAGACAGTGGTCACTGGAACAGGTGTCCCCGTAGGAAGATTTATTTTCTCTTACTGTTCCACTGGCAAGTGTAAAATTTGGCATTGGCCATCAATATCTGTCCCAGTGACAATGTTCATTATTAAAAATGGAGCAAATTTACACTACAAGGACAGAGGCAACAACAAGAAACATCATCATCATCTGAATTCTTGTTGTGAGTCATTTGATGATCATAAGAACCCAGGGAAGTTGTCACACATTAGCCTGCATACTCCATGGTTGCAGCTTTCCTTTAATGAACAATTATCAGAGTGCAATGTGACCTGCGCAGAATGTAGAGGTGAGAGGTAATTCTTCTTGGGACCCGGAGCCTTGTGGTGCCGGTGGGAGGGTGCAGGGCGGAGAGAGGCTTGGGGACTGGGACACTCATAGCTGCACACTTAGAGGATTTGTGAACACAGTGCTGGCTGCACTAATCCTGCACTGATCCAGGTCACCGTAGCCATAGAGGAAGCCAAGGGAGGCTGACGGCCGGGTCACTGCACACACTGATCACTGGCACCACTAGGCAGAGGCAGAAGAAGCATGGCAGAGGCAGCAGCAGGTGAGCAGCCGGCGCTGGCAGAGCAGATTGGGGGAAAGGGAGTCAAGTCAGGGAAAGGGCAAGCAGCAAAGGTGATAGTAGAGCGCAGTGACACAGATGCATGCCAGCTGAATGGAGGCGACGCTCTAACTTCTATTGTCAGTGCACCAGAAACTGAGGGTGCAAGTGTTGTGACAGAGGAGACCCCCACAGGGGAGGGTGAAGGTGCAGCAGAGAGTGTGACTACCGCAGTGGAGGGTGAAGCTACAGAGGAGAGTGTGACCCCCACAGTAAAGGGTGAAGGTGCAACGGAGAGTGTGACCCCCACAGTAGAGGGTGAAGGTGTAGCGGAGAGTGTGACCCCCACAGTAGAGGGTGAAGGTGCAGCAGAGAGTGTGACAACCGCAGTGGAGGGTGAAGCTACAGAGGAGAGTGTGACTCCCACAGTAAAGGGTGAAGGTGCAGCGAAGAGTGTAACCTCCACAGTAGAGGGTGGAGGTGCAGCTGAGAGTGTGACTACCGCAGTGGAGGATGAAGCTGCAGCAGAGAGTGTGACCCCCACAGTAGAGGGTGAAGTTTCAGAGGAGAGTGTGACTCCCACAGTAGAGGGTGAAGTTTCAGAGGAGAGTGTGACCCCCACAGTAGAGGATGAAGCTGCAGCAGAGAGTGTGACCCCCACAGTAGAGGGTGAAGTTTCAGAGGAGAGTGTGACTCCCACAGTAGAGGGTGAAGCTGCAGCAGAGAGTGTGACCCCCACAGTAGAGGGTGAAGCTGCAGCAGAGAGTGTGACCCCCACAGTAGAGGGTGAAGTTTCAGAGGAGAGTGTGACTCCCACAGTAGAGGGTGAAGCTGCAGTGGAGAGTGTGACCCACACAGTAGAGGGTGAAGTTTCAGAGGAGAGTGTGACTCCCACAGTAGAGGGTGAAGCTGCAGTGGAGAGTGTGACTCCCACAGTAGAGGGTGAAGGTGCAGCGGTGAGTGTGACCCCCACAGTAGAGGGTGATGGTGCAGCGGAGAGTGTGACCCCCGCAGTGGAGGGTGCAGGGGAAACAGAGAAAAATGTGGCTACCCCAGTGGAGGGTTCAGTTGCAGCAGAGGAGAGTGCAGCAGAGGGTGCAAGAACAGTGGAGGAAAGTGAGACCTCCACAGTAGAAAGTGCAGGGACAGCAGAGGAGAGTGAAGGCACAGCAGAGGAGATTGTGACCCCCACACGGGAGGATGCAGGGGTAGCGGAGGAGAGCTTAGGATCAGAGGGGGAGAAAGTAACCCAAGAGCAGGGTGCAGAGGTCCCCACAGTAGAACAAGTGGTTGCCCCCACAGTAGAGGAGGGAGCAGCAGAGCAACAAGAGGTTGTGACCCCCATTGTGCAGGAGGATGTAAGACCCACAGAGGAGAAAGCAGTGTCCCCCATAGTAGTGGAAGCTGTGACCCCCACGGTGCAGGAGGATGTAAGACCCACAGAGGAGAAAGCAGTGGCCCCCATAGTAGTGGAAGCTGTGACCCCCACGGTGCAGGAGGATGTAAGACCCACAGAGGAGGAAGCAGTGGCCCCCATAGTAGTGGAAGCTGTGATCCTCACAGTGGAAGAGGGTGAAGTACAGAAAGCAGAAACTGTGACCCCCATAGCACAGGAAGCAACAGTGGAGGGGGACGCAGGGCAAAAGGTGGAGGTTGTGACCCCCAGAGAGGATGAAGTGGTGAACATCAGGGCAGAAGAGGGTGAAGCAGGCAAAGCTATAACTGTAGAGGAAGGAACATCCGAGAGTCAGGACATTGTTAGTCCAGCTCAGGTACAGTTGGAAGTGATTCAGGATCCTTTAGAACTTGACCGCAGTCCCGGGAATGTCAGTGCCGATGACAGTGCTGCAGTACAAGAAGACAAAGAAGAAGAGAAAGAAAGCAGTGAGAGCAGTGAAGGGACATCCAGCAGTGATGAGGAGGAGGAAGAGAAGAAGAAGGAACTGAAAGAAGCAGAGGAAGATAGAACAGGAGAAAATGAAGATGAGGAGCAGAAGGTGGCTGAGGAAGAATCCACGGAGCAGCTAGAAGCTGATACGAATACAGAGGAGCCAGGCAAGGAAGTTTTAGAAAGTGTGGCTGATGAGGAAGCATCTCAAGCAGCCAGTGAAGAAGAGAAACCAGAAATGGACCCACAGGAAGGAGATGCAGAGAAGCCAGGAACCGTGGCAGATGCCCCACTGGAAGAACCTGACAGTACACTGGACACCACAGCACCAGCGGAGAGCCCCCCAGCACAGGACTATACTGTCCTAGAAGAAGAGGCTGACCTGCAACAAGTCATTGAAGAAGCTCCTACAGAGGAGGCCGAAACCAAGGACACCCCGACACAGATTCTTCCAGAAGAGGAGGCCCAGCCAGAAGGTCCTGATGCCGGGGAGGACACAACTATAGGAGACGAGATTAGGGAAAATGGAACCAGTCCTGCAAGCGTCCCAGAAACCCCAGTGGAGAGCAGTGACCTACCCCAGGAACACGACATTTCCCTGTTTGTCAAGGTAAGACTTCAGTCCTTGTTACTAATCCCAAGAATGCTGTCCATTGTCTTGTGACTTTAAAAAAAATTTTTTTTTTAGCATGTCAATATTTTATTGATCACAAGGTAGTACAAACAAAGCTCAACTTAGAGGCTGGTATCAATAAATAGATTGTACCATTGAAATACATACATCGGTTCATATCAAGCAAGATATAACAGAGAGAATTAAATAACTAGTAAAAGTAACAAGTAATATCACTAATGTGCAAGTGAAATTGTGTGACAACAATGTTATATTTCTAGGGAGATAAGTATAAGTATGTAACCGTGAGTAGAAGACAACCTCCTCGCAATAGCGCTTACCGTAGGGTGTTTCAGGTTCACTATACGCCCCTGACATGTGGGGGTGGTAAGAAATGCATATACACAATTGGGAACGTGGGTGAGTGAGTCAAAGGACGTCCAGGGGTCCTAGGGAATTTGTAAGTTTCGCCTCGAGGTACCACTTGGAGAATCGAAAGATGGACGTCTTGTGACTTTATGTTACCCAGTCTGGTAAAACCATTGTAAGCTTCCCAGCAATGTGTTATTATTTAAAAGTCTAGACTTGCCTAATTAAACTACGGCCCAAAGATTTGTATCACTGTAGGTTTTCTCATGGGAAGATTTTCCTCACTTCCTGCCCCAGTGACACCACAACTAGAATTAAGACGGTGTGGATGTCCCCGGGACAGTACGTCACAGTGCAATAAAAACTTGATTTGATACTCCAACCCTTACCCGCCCTAATAAATAAATGTACATTTGCTGTTTTCCCTGTCCCAGTCAGAGAGACATCCCATCACTTCCTGTGCTTGTGACACCTTGTCAAAGTAATAGCAATAAGAATAAAATCTTCCCTAAGGGCATACAGACAGGAAAAAAAAACATGGTAGAAGTTCTAACCCTGTCCAAAACTAAAAATCAGGCATGCATATCTTGCCATGTTTTGTCCCTTTAAATACTCTGCAAGTACACAGAAAATGTCCATTGACCTGCCAGAAATGCCCTCCGCTCCGAAATCCTGTAGTGGGCTGACAACACAGTATTGTTGTAGTCTGAGTGGTGTCAGCCCGCCCAGTTGACTTTTGTCACCCCCACCACCTGAAGCCCTACCCAGTTGACTTTTGCAATACGACCGCCTCTCTGAGATTGCCTACAACAGGGGTGCCCACAATTTTTGTTTTAACATCTACTTTTCAAAAGGCGAGCTACATGAGATCTACCAACGAAAAAAAAACCTCCGTCGCTCTCTCTCCTGTCTGTCTCTCCTTGCTCATCCTCCTGGCTGTCTCTCCTCTCTCTCCTGTCTGTCTCTCCCCGCTCTCTCTCCTGGCTGTCTCTCCTCTCTCTCTCCTGGCTGTCTCTCCCCGCTCTCTCTCCTGGCTGTCTCTCCCCGCTCTCTCTCCTGGCTGTCTCTCCTCTCTCTCTCTCCCCCTAGCTGTCTCTCCTTCCTCTCTCTCCTGGCTGTCTCTCCTCTCTCTCTCCCCCTAGCTGTCTCTCCTCCCTCTCTGCTCTCTCTCCTGGCTGTCTCTCCCCTCTCTATCCTGGCTGTCTCTTCCCTCTCTCTCTCTCCCCTGCCTGTCTCTCCCCGCTCTCTCTCCTGGCTGTCTCTCCTCCCTCTCTGCTCTCTCTCCTGGCTGTCTCTCCCCGCTCTCTCTCCTGGCTCACCTTGCTGTATTTTGCAAACAGTGTAGTGCAACAGGCTGTGTAAACGAATATTCTTTGATGTAATACATAGCACTTCAACCCCCAGTAACCACCAGAAAGGTGTCAGGGAGCTCGGCTCAGCAGACTCAGGCTAATAGGTAATCATGTGTGCTCAGCTACATAAATATACAAAAATGGAATAAAGGGGCTGCCATTCACACCCTTCCTGATCTACCAGCATCAGCTTTGAGAGCTACTGCTAGATCACCATCTACGTAATGGGCACCGCTGGTCTACAACATGAAGAAAAATCATTCCGTAGACCATTATAAGAACCAGGAGGGCTCCTTGACTGCATTCGTTTTATTTTTTTTGTTTTTTCATTACCTTTAGCTTCGCCTAACAATATTTTCAATAACACACTTCCTGTCCAAGGGTGGCAACGCTCAATCACCATACTCTTTCAAGGGAGAAAATGTGTTGTCACCCTAGGGATGGATTACAGAGCAGCTCCCACCTTTCTCTTTATTGTAACATAGGAGGGAGGTGTTCTGCAGTTTACAGAGAGAGCTAAGAACAATGTTACTGAGTGCAGCCCAGGCATTGGGGAAGTTCACTGTTATATTAGCGGTGACCAGTATAATAGAAACAGAAAATGAGGGGGAAACCTCTAGAGCTGTCCCCAGAGCAAGAGGTAAGGGGGAATCTTCCAATGGGGACACCTGTTTTTTCGGGCACTTTGAGAGATTGTCACCAACTTCCTGTTGTGTCTCATGCACAGGATGTGAGGGGAAATTTCCCATATTGGACACAGACAGCAAAAAAATAAATAACCTGACAGGAGTTTTAACTCTTTCCTACTCTATTCAAAACTAACAACAAAGGTCTGGCTTTGCTTATACTTTAAATGAGCTTTATGAATGAGCCTTTGGAGTTCTGCTTTCAGTGGTGTAATAAATGGGGGCAAAATATGTTTTCATGGTTTATATCTCTCAAGGTTGTTGTGTTATTTATTGAATTTATATAAGACTCGCTTGTGTAAGTTTACAAAAGTGTCATATAAAACATGGATAACAATGTGATAGAAGGAAGTGGGTATGGTGGTGACCGGGTACAGGGTTCAGCTGTCAAAATTTTGGCTGCCTGGTCTTAAATTCGAGAAAGAGTATCCCACTGATCAATACGAGAAAGAGTACCCCACTGATCAATTTGGGGAAGAGTACCCCTCTGTCCAATTCAAGGAAGAGCACCCCTCTGTTCAATTTGGGGAAGAGTACCCCTCTGATCAATTTGGGGAAGAGTACCCCTCTGTCCACTTCAAGGAAGAGTACCCTCTGTTCAATTTGGGGAAGAGTACCCCTCTGTCCAATTCAAGGAAGAGTACCCCTCTGTTCAATTTGGGGAAGGGTACCTCTCTGTTCAATTTGGGGAAGAGTACCCCTCTGTTCAATTTGAGGAATAGTACCCCATTGTTCAATTTGGGGAAGAATACCCCTCTGTTCAATTTGAGGAAGAATACCCCTCTGTTCAATTTGAGGAAGAGTACCCCTCTGTTCAATTGGAGGAGGAGTACCCCTCTGTTCAATTTCAGGAAGAGTACCCCTCTGTTTAATTGGAGGAGGAGTACCCCTCTGTTCAATTTGGAGAAGAGTACCCATCTGTTCAATTTGAGGAAGAGTACTGTCAGAGCTATTGGGCCCCTCTGTTCAATTTGGGGAAGAGTACCCATCTGTTCAATTTGAGGAAGAGTACCCCTCTGCTCAATTTGGGGAAGAGTACCCCTCTGTTCAATTCGAGAAGGAATACCCCTCTGTTCCATTCTAGGAAGATCACTCCTGTTTAATTCCAGGAGGAGTACCGCTCTGTTAAATTTGAGGAGGAGAACCCCTTTGTTCAATTCCATGAGCACCCTTCTGTTCAATTTGAGGGGGAGCACCCCTCTGTTCAATTCCAGGAGGACTACCCTTCTGTTCAATTCCAGGAGGACTAACCCTCTGTTCAATTTGAGGAGGGGCACCCCTCTGTTCAATTCCAGGAGGAGCCCCCTTCTGTTCAGTTGAAGGAGCACCCTTCTGTTCAACATTTTTCAATCAAACAGTAACTGCAGTTGATCAGTTGCAGTGAATGCAGCACAATAGCCCGGTGAGAGAGAAGGGGGGTTATTCCCAAAGGAGCCAAAGGATTAAGCCGAACATTCGGGACCCCCCGGAAAAGCACCTTGTCCTCATGCCGAAGGGGACAAGAACCTCTTCCCCACAACCCTGGCCCCGAGCTTTTATATGCATCTCGGTAACCCCTTTCATAAAGGGGCCACCCAGATGCCTCCCCTAACCGAGGCCCGGGCCTTGGGGCAGCAGGGAGCAGAGGGGCAGCAGGAGTGTGGAATTCCTTCCTCCCGACGCCCTGGACATGCAGTTCTGGCCGCTGGGCGGGGTATTTTTTTCTACATTTAGCAAGCAGAGCTAAATGTAAAGCGGGGAAGCCGCCACTCGTTTTGTACAAGTGATCTCACCGATTTTGCCGAGATCATTTGCATGCAGCCTGCAGGTCTGTAGATAAATACAAATTTAAAAAAGTTAAAAAAATAAAAAGTGATTAAAAAATTAACACCAACCCTTGGGTTTGGTGGGGAGGGGGCACATTGAGGAACCTGGCCTTGGGGCAGCAGAGAGAGTAAATCCAGGCCCTGGGGACAGAATGTTGAATGTCAGGTTATTATTCTGTCTGTGTACCCTTTCTGGTTGCCCTGGTGACTACTGTCAGCATGGCAGAAAGTGATAGGAAATCCAATATGTTACAGTTGTCACCGGAATAGGTGAGTAGAAATACTCCATTGGAAACACTTGATTTAGGAACAACTGTCTAATATTGGCCAAATGTGGCTTGGATTTCACATTTGGTCTCCTCTAGCCTCCTTTGGGCTAGGCACTTGAGCGTTGACTTCCTCGCTAATTTTTGCTGTTATTTTTCATGTGCATTTCTACAAGTGTTTTTGGCGGTAATCATGTTTGTTAAGGCCAATTTAAAGCAGGTTATTGGTGGAGGAGGCGGTTGTTAGGCACAAAAACGCAAGAAAAAATGCATGTTATGTGTATTTTTGGGACGTTTTTCAAACACTCCCTATAAAATCTACAGGGACAAAAACACGTTCCTGCACCAAAGAAGCTCCAGTGCTTCTTTGGTGAGACAAGAGACAGCACATGTGAGCGGGCCCCATAGAATGGAATAGAAATCTTGTGCTGAGCCTTATCCTGCTTCTGAAAACACACTTCAGAGCGCTCAGATGTGAATGGGCCGCTCCAGCATCAGCTGCACATCGTCGGTCTGGCA